TCTCAGGTTTACTACCCTTTGTTTCTTGCTGTCTGCTGTCATGAAAATCATGGTTTTATATACTTTCTCCAATTGTTGGTAGATTTAGGTGGGAGGATAAATTTGATCCCTGTTATTACATCTTGGCTGGAAGTAGAGGATACATCAATATATTTCGATATACTATATTTTAACATACTGAAAAGCAGTAAGATTCTGTTAAGAATGTAGAACTGATCACAATTATAGAGGACAAGTTGCTTACGTTTTCATATTTTCATAATTTATGTATTGACTACTTCCACTCCATATGACATATATGTACACATATAACTTCACCTAAACTTCTAAAAATTGTATAAATTATACCAAAATATTAACTTTTAATCAGATCTGTGGCTTTCCATTTTTCTTAAGATATTTATAAAGATTGATTTGAATATAACATGTTATGCCTATTTTTATATTACTAAGATAGTATTTAGACTTTATAATTGAACACTCATTTTTACTTATATTGAAATCCATACCTTCAGATTTTTAGGGAAGATGAAAATAAGGCTAATACTGAGTACATTTAGAAAATGCATAATTAAATAAGTATATATCCCAACACGGACTTTAGTTCAACAGGATGCATAAAAGGCAAAGCTACTTAAGTACAAGTACTATTGCATAGTATAGATGAGAAGAAGAGAAGAAACATAAAGGAGAAGAAGGGAAAGACAAAGAGAAAGAAATTGAAGGTAAATAAGGCCAAGCAAAAAGCAACCTAAAGAAGAGTAATGTTTAAGTCCGTTAGTAGCAAAGGTCCAGTATGGCCAGGACAGACTAACTTTGATAGAGCTGTGAATATGGATACAAATCAGAGCTGGAACTTTATTCTTTATTCATTCGGTAAATCTTTGTTTAGTGTTTACTATATTGCAGGTATTATTTAAAACAGAAGGCAGCAAACTATGACGAATATCTATTTTGTACAGCCCATGATCTAAGAAGAATTCTTACATTTTTAAAGGTTAAAAAAAAAAGGATATGTAATAGAGATGGTATAGGCTGCAAAGCTTAAAATATTTGCTATTTAGTCATTACTGAAAAAGTCTGTCAATCCCTGGTTAAAGATATGGGGAATACAGCAGTATAAAAGAAAAAGAACAAAGGAGAGAAGACCTTGCACTTATGGGGCTGATATTCTAGTAAGAGGAATATAGATAAGCAATAAATAAGTGAAATATATAGTTTTGAGATGGTATGTAGATAATTAGAATAGGAAGGGGAAATTGGTCTGCTAGAGATGTGGTTTAGACTCTTAATGGCCCATAGAGCAAACGAGAGGATAGTCTTAGGATGAGGAATGATTTGATTCCTCAGAAACGCTGTATTTTTGAGGTGAGAAAGATCATAAATAGATGGTGGCAAGCTGAGATGGTCATTTTGATTGTGATTGTTGTGGTGGGGGTAGCAAAGGGAGTGGTATATAAAGTCCAGCGTTCTGAAGCTCTTAACTTTCCTGCCAGTGGTAAGGTGGATACTAAGGAAGGGGTGGTCTTATTGGGTTACCCAGCTTCTGGCTTCCTCTAGAAAAGCAAAGATATTTGGAACAGGGGATCTGCATATTCACGGCTGGGTTTGTACCATTTAATATAAGCCATTATACAAAGGTTTACTCGAAAGAACTGTGGAGAGAAAAGTGGAGGAAGGAAGTACCACAGCCCGGTCCTTGGAATGACAAGAGTTCTAAGATCAGGCATTTCATGATACTGGCAGTATATCAGAAGAGACCACTGACAAGCACAGCGTTCCAGAATTTGAATAAATATGTGGCAAGAAACAAAGTTATTCCTATTGCTAGCGTCATAACATAGGAAACACCATACAGCGTTAAATCATATTCACCCATACTGTTTTTATTAAAATATTTGTTAAGCACCTACTATGCACTAGCACTGTTCTAAGAACTTAAAATACAGTAGTGTGCAAGAAAATATGGATAAATCTCATGAAATTTACATTTGAATGCTGTAGGTAACTTCAGATTTTCCCATGTGCTGTGCTGGAAGTTGTGGTTTCCATGTGCAAGTTGGAAGGTACTACTTTAAAGATTTTATTTATTTATTTATTTGACAGACAGAGATCACAAGTAGGCAGAGAAGCAGGCAGAGAGAGAGGAGGAAGCAGGCTCCCTGCTGAGCTGAGAGCCTGATGTGGGGCTCGATCCCAGGACCCTGGGATCATGACCTGAGCCGAAGGCAGAGGCTTTAACCCACTGAGCCACCCAGGTGCCCCGGAAGGTACTACTTTAAAAAGGAGGGACAGGGGGACATTCTGAGGTGGTACCTTTTCCGCTGGCTGTTGAAAAATCAAAAGGAGCTTGCCCATTCCACGAGTGAATGGGTGAGAAGAAGCAAAATGAATAAAAGTAAGAAGTCCCTAAGGCAGTAAAGAGCTGTCAGAACACTGATTTATGACTATGGCAGTTTCTGCTCAGGCAGTTTTGTCAGAGAGCACTAAGGATCCTGTGGAGACAATGCCTCCTGGGATGGCCTTCAAGCTGAAAGCTATCTTGGGCTTATTCTTGTTTATTCTTCCTTTGTTTCTCTTGCTACTGTTCATAGGACCAACGAAGAGTGTAGGGGAGGGTAATTTCCTTCCAAATATCATGCCCCTAAGATTCAGAACCTTTACATGGTGTCCTTTCTTTGTCCACAGTGGTACAATGCATGTCCACTTCATTTATATGCTTATTTTAGATAGCAGGAGGGCAATAAATTACCAATAACCATACTAGTAATACCAGTAGCTGAGATTTATTGAAAACTTATATGTGCCAAACACCTCACATGTAGTAATTTATTTAGTTCTCAAGCTAATCCTGAGATAGGGAGTAATACTAACCCCATTTTTCCAGATGGAGAAACTGAGACAAAGAGAATTAAATGATTTGCCTGGTACATACAGCTATTAAGTGTTCAAAACTGGCAGTATGATGGCAGAATCCTCATGTGCTTAAAACTAATGTACTATACCCCTTCTTTCCTCCAGAAACAATTTGTAAAGAGAAAATAAATCCCAGGTATACACTTTCATTTTATATGGATAGTTTGCATCTCACCTAAAATATTACAAGTGTTTCTTATACTCTACATTTTCATTATCCTCATCATTACTATAAATTCATTTAGTTTGAAGTTGGGAACAATTGCTTTTTTGAGGTGTTAAGATCCTCTTTTTCTTTCCTTCTACCTCCACGCCTGTTTAAACTTCTTTTCAGCTCTTTAGGCTCTTGGCTAATACATTCATTCAATCAGTCACTCATTCAGTCAATCAATCGATATGTTCTGCACTCTAGTTCTCCTCAGTTTCAGCTCAAATATTTTTGTTTGTTTCAAGTTTTTATTTAAATCCTAGTTAGTTAATATATGGTATAATATTGGTTTCAGGAGTAAAATTTAGTGATTCATCACTTACATGTAACACCCAGAGTTCATCACAAGTTCTTTCCTTAATGCCCATCACCCATTTAGCCCATTCCCTCCCTTCTTCCCTCCATCAACCCTCAGTTACAAGTCAATCCCTGGTTTAAGATATGGGAAATATGGGCGCCTGGGTGGCTCAGTGGTTAAAGCCTCTGCCTTCAGCTCAGGTCGTGATCTCAGGGTCCTGGGATCGAGTCCCACATCGGGCTCTCTGCTCAGCAGGCAGCCTGCCTCCTCCTATCTCTCTCTGCCTGCCTCTCTGCCTACTTGTGATCTGTCTGTCAAATTAAAAAAAAAAAAGATATGGGAAATATAACAGTATTTCCTCTTGCCCCCCCCTTCCCCTATATTTATGTTTTGTGTCTTAAATTTGTTTTTATATGATGGACTTATTTCACTTAGCATAATACACTCTAGCTACATCCACATCATTGCAAATGGCAAGATGTGGTCAGTATTTTTGTATCCTTAGGTAAATAACTTTGGGTAAATACCAATTGCTGGGTTGTAGGATAGTTCTATCATATCTTTTCCTCACAATTCCATCAATCTTCCAACTCAGTCTCTTTCTTTTCCCTGCATTTCTCCCCACAGATTTATGACTTACTGTTTAGAAGCAAATTTTAAGGATGGAATACCAGGCACTTGACTAAGTTCACTTTTAAAAAAAAAAGTAATTTATTTATTAGAGAGAGAGAGAGTGAAAGCACAAGAAGGGGGAGGGACAGAAGGAAAGGGAGATGGAGAAGAAGACTCCCTGCTGAGAACGGAGCCCAACACGGGGCTCAATCCCAGGACTGTGAGAGCATGAATTTAGCTGAAGTCAGCCACTTAACAGACACCCAGATGCTCCAATAAGTTCATGTTACCACGTAATCTTACTTTTGCATGCCAGACAGTTAGTATTTGTGCAATTAAAACGTGTCACTTAGATAAAGAACAACCAATAAATTTTACTGGGTGAAATTAATTGGGTGAATTTTTTTCCTACTCATGAATTTTCCTCACCTTTATGAGCAATTTCTTAGTTTACTGGAAACTAACAAACTTACTAAATCAAGTAAAGCTTAAGAGATTACACCATATATGAAAATAAGAAGTAATATAGGTTTCATTTTATAAAAAATAGCAAGTAACTCCAAATACTCTTAAAAAAAACCTCAAAAACCTTTAGTTAGTGGGAAAATGACTTTTTATTATCAATTCATTCATTCGTTCATTTCATTTCTTTTGGTATTTTAAGCCAAATCTAAAAAATTCTAAGAAATCACACAATGCCTTCTAAATTTGACTTATATATGAGAATGCCATATAAGAAAACATAAATTAGAGAGTTAAACATTATCACTGATTTTACTTCATTTATATTTCTTTTTTTCCCTTTTCATTTATATTTCTAGTCAACATGTACAGTTCATTTCAGAAGCTCAATTAGCTATCTAACTTCACTGAACAGGTTTTACTTATTCATCTCTATGTGTGCTATAGAGTCCTGGACAAAATGACCAAAATACAACAGATCAAGACATGGGAAAAATTCCTTACCTTTAAAGAAGACAAAATTCCCATCACTGTTTTCATAAACTGCATCGATACTAGGAGGCAAGCCCCGCCAAAAGTAAGTAATTTGCATGGGGTATCCATCCATCACCCTGTTGTTTCTCACTCGCCAAAACCACTGGTCCTGCAAACCAAGCAAAAGCATCTCTCAACAAACATGCAGGCCTCCATCGCATTTCCCTGTGCAATGGTGTAACCCTTCGAAAACTAAACTAGTGTCATTTTCACTCTCAAATCAAAAACATCAAAGAAACAGCTAATCAACTTGCTTACGGCGATGACAGTTGTTTTTGTAGCTGACTGTCCAGTCTCTGATCCACACAATGTGATTAAAAGACAATGCAAAAATATTTAACTTCAACATTTTACATGATCTCCAGTGCTTTTAGATGGAAAAAACAGAAGTAGTACAGACAAGTCCCTGCCAGATTTGTGGATTAAGTCAGTATTCCTGAATAAGAGAGCAGCATATGGACATGTATACATTTACAGACACAAACTTAAAATGTTAGGGATGGAATAAAGAGGCCATCCCTCCTGCTATGCCCACATTACACCCATCGTCCCCTGTAACTGTAAGTAGTGTCCTCTTTCACCCTCATATATGTTTTGGTTTGGGTGATAAACTATATGGTCACCCTAAATGAACAAAGTTATCTTGAAAAAAAATTATCAAAGTGATTCCAGTCTGCGTCAACTGCCTCCCCAATATGCTCTCACAGTATCTGGACTTCACTCAATCATAGTATCAGTTATTTTATGTAAAAAGTGTCTACTCTTATCTCAGTGAAAATATATGACTTGTCTCATAGCAAGTGCTTATAAATGTTGTTGAATTAATCATTAATTGCACACAGTATGTTTCTCCATAAATTCTTAGTAATGGCATGACATTCAATTATTTTCTATGGAAAATTTCAGAATGGAAACTATTCAAAGTGCTTTAATATTAGAAAAATAAGGTATATTTTGAAGTATACTCTTTCACTTCATTTCAAAATTTTCTATTTACAAACAACATTTCACTTGGAAAACATTTATTTGTACTACTTAGATAAGTATATTTCATGAAAATATTTCCAATTTCCCTTACTTAGATATTAACAAATGGTTTATTATAGGGCTTTCCCAACCTTTTGGCTTACAATAGTTTGACTAGATTTTCTAGGATTTGTGAGTTATTCATATAGTCATTCATACACACACACACACACACACACACACACACACACATACAGTCAACTGGGGATTCTTGGATTTCAGGTGATGTGATAAAAATGAACCTTTCTCCATCTAAACCAATCCAAATATAAAAATTTTCTTAGGAATCTTTGGGTAGTTGTACTTCATTCTAGTTACCTTGAGTTGTCTTCTCTACGAACTTTGTTATTTATAAAAAGAAGGAAGTAGCTTAATTAACACCTCTAAGTTTGTATCCTATTCTTGCTCTGTCCCTTAATAATGGTCATCCAGGTCAAGATACTAGTCATTGAGTTATTACAAACTAATAACTGACTTGTAGTATAAATACTGCCTTATTTTATTTTTATGTAGGCTCCATGCCCAGTGTGGAACCCAGTGCAGGGCTTGAACTCAGAACCCTGAGATCAAGACCTGAGCTAAAATCAAGAGTTGGATACTTAATGGACCGAGCCACCCAGGCACCTCTAATTACTGTTTTAAGGATTTTCTGAAGACCTGGCACATAGTTGGCTGTTGTTATTGTTAAAATTATATTGAAACTCGTTATCTTACTTTCCTTCACAATCCTGTTTACAGTTCTGCTGCTGTTCTTTGTTCTCTTTTCAGATTTCAGCCATATTATGGCTCTAGCCATGCATCTCTCTCTTACCAATATCTTCTTACGTTATTAACCTCTTCTTGATAATTTTTATGCTACCAGCTAACCTGAATTAATACATATCTTGATTCACATATAGTAGATACATTAAACTGATTTTAAAATACAGAGTTATTCTGTGAAAAGATTGATCCAGGAAAATTACATGGGCATGAAGATTCAGGGCTTACTCCTATAGTATGTGAGAAGATGATATTCTGATTATTATTTTTTTAAATAGATTTATTTATTTATTTGGAGAGAGAGAGACACACACATGGCAGGGAAGGGCAGAAGAAGAGGGAGAGAGAAACCCAAGCAGACTCTGTATTGAGTGTGGAGCCCTAAATGGGACTCCAGGCCAGGACCCTGAGATAATGATCTGAGCCAAAACCGAGAGTCAGAGGCTTAACCAATGTGCCACCCACATGCCCCTCCACAAAAAATATTCTTCTTGTTTTTTTCTTTTTTAAGATTTTTATTTATTTATTTGATAGAGAGAGACACAGCTAGAGAAGGAACACAGCAGAGGGAGTGGGAGAGGGAGAAGCATGCCCCCCATGGAGCAGGGAGCCCCAAGCAGGGCTTGATTCCAGAACCCTGGGATCATGACCTGAGTTGAAGGCAGACGCTTAGCAACTAAGGCACCCGGCACCCCCACATAAAATATTCTTAAGTAACTGTAATGTATATCCAAAAATAATAAAAATGGCTAAATACCTACCAGACTCTGACAAAGAAATAACTGACCATGATTATTAATGGAACAATGAAACTGAAAGCTCTCTGAGCTGAAGGATTGGAAAAAAAAAAAAATCAGGGGAAAAAAAAAGCCTGAACTATATTCCAATTTTTCTCAGAGAAGTACTTCACATTGTTCTGTCTACCCAGTACTGAGACAAGGCCAGTGGCTCTTTGGAACAGCCATATGCTGTTATGTGAAGATAGGAACACAACTTCAGCTTGCCACTAATACAGGAAGAAACAGAAATTTTGCCTCAAGATAAGCCAATTTGCAAAAATTCAGAAAGTAATATGGAATAATAGGTGAAATCAGAACAATTTCTCATGGACAGCAGCCTTGGCAGAGTGATATAAACTGTCGATATTCAGGTTGTGCTTCTATTCAACTTATCTACACCTTCTCAGAGTGGTAGAAAGCAACGGTACAAATAAGTTAGCAAGCACTCTCTCACAGAGGATGTAAACATATCATAGTCACTATAGAGTGCCATTTCAGAAATTGAGCTTGTGAACGATTCGTAGAGAGAGGATATTTAAAATGTTATTTAAGTCTCTATGCAAATTTTCCTTCTAAGTGAAACCTCCTCTGACCGCACAATCTAAAATTGAATTCCCTCACTCCGCCCACCCACATGTGCTTTCACTCTCCCTCTCCCTTGCTTTATTTCCCTTCACCATGTTGATCACTGTTTAACACAGTACATGTTTTGTTTATTGTTCATTCTCTCTCCACTAGAATGTAAGCTCCATGATGGCAAAGTTATGTTGGTTCATTTGTGGCTCCCCATTTCCAGAAAAATATCTTGCACATGGTAGAAGCTTACTAAATATTTCTTAGAAGCAAACGCATTTAAGGGGGAAAGGACAAAGTAAAGGTTGAGTTATCCTTTCAGAAGTCAAAAGCTATGCAGATGTCACAAGAGTACACAAGTTCCACTTGAACAGGCAGACATTTAGTATATATTCCATAATTTCGAAAGGTATGATATATTCAAGGTCTCTGAAACATGCAGGGGGAAAAAAAAGAATTGTTTCACCCTTCCAAACACTGTAGCTTTTGTTTTGGCCTTCAGTATAAAGGGAAAGAAAGAAGAATCTGAGCTCTAAATCTGTTGTTTCTATCTTGCCACTGGCCTTTTTTTGGCTACAGCCCTTATAAAAGGGAGTGGAAGGGGTGGAAGCATACCCTAAAAATAATCAAAACTAGCACATTTGCAAAATCAACTCATGAAAAAAACAGTGCTTAAAAATTACCAAAGAGGAATTCCTACTTAAAGACCAATATTTCACTTTAGATAAAAGTTTACACAGATTTGTCTTTCCATGTAGCATGGGACCCAGGCAGACCACTTTGTTCGCAAAGATAAATACACAGAGTATGGCAGGGTGTACACCATGAGGCAATAAGGAGAAATTTAGTTTGCTTTTTTTTTATTCCCTTTAAAATTCTGTATTAATACAGGCATATTGTTTGCTGACAGCTCTAGAGAAAAAGTATCCTCCTGCTGTCTGAATATGAAGATCGGTTATTGATTTACTCTCGGGAAAGGGTGCTATTTTCAGACCTCTTTTTAGAAGCCAATTAGTAAACCTGATCTACTTTGGCTTCTCTTCTAATCTACAGATTCATTATTTAACCGAAAACTTGATGTAAATCTGTGAATACCTCACATGTCTACATGAACGTTTCCAGAAAGCATCAGTTGCTCTCTCAGCCCTCGCCTGCCATGCCACTGTGGGCTTCCTCCAGTCTTCCCCACCTCTGAAATAGCATCTCAAAACTCTTGATTCCTTGCCATCATCACTGTCACCATCCTACTCCGAGCTGCCACTGTATTTCATGGAGATGACTGCAATGCCAACTCGAAGCTACCAATTTGCCTCCTACTGCATCTAAAATGGAATTCAGACTCCGTCCCTGTCTCCAGCCCCTGCACCAGTTGCAGGTCCCTTTTGTGCTCATGACGCTCTACCTGCATTGGCATCCTTTCAGTTTCTGATAGAGTAAAGCTCTTTTCTTCCTTAAGACTTCTATACCATTTGCTCTACTTTGAATGTTCTTTCCCTTCCTCACACCATTCATCCAATTAACTGTGAATCACCTATGCATTCTAGCTGAAATTTCCTTTCCAAAGAAAGGCCTTATCTGACCCATGACTGAAATTAGGTGACACTGTTTATACTGTTCCATAGTAGTCTGTAATTTCACTTTACAGCACTTATACCATCTGTTACCATACTACCATTTTTTTTAAATAAAATATTTTATTTATTTATTTGACAGACAGAGATCACAAGTAGGCAGAGAGGTAGGCAGAGAGAGAGGAAGGGAAGCAGGCTCCCTGCCAAGCAGAGAGCCTGATGGAGGGCTCGATCCCAGGACCCTGAGATCATGACCTGAGCTGAAGGCAGAGGCTTTAACCCACTGAGACACCCAGGTACCCCTATATTACCATTTTTAAAGTGACACAGTCTTCCCCCTGCTCCACTGTGCTATATGCCCAAAGAAGTAGGGACAGTATATTTCATTACCATTGAAT